GAGCGGGTGTCTCTCAGTCAATTACAGAGCAACAATTGGGGAGGGAGGCTTTACGCACATCGTGAACTGCAAGTGAAGCGGCATCTCTATTCCCCAAAAGTGGCGATCACTCTCTGTCGTTCTGACTGTCTCTCGGCTGGCAGCATATTCCTGTTGCCAAAAAGAACCTTCACATCATGAAGTGCTCGGGGTAGCTCTGACGTTGGAGCAAGGACTTGGTGCATTACCAGGTTATCTAAGCAACAGATTACAGGATAACTTGCAGCCTTGGTTAGCATCACCACACGTGATGATAAAATATACTAGGGTTAAAACCTTTCCAGGCAGGGTGGATTGTTGTGCAGCATGTATAACGTGTCTTGTACCTACGACAGACAAGTGGTGCTTCACCACTCATCCGTTGCAGGTTGGGGGCGTTGTAAGTCATCCCTCAGCGAGGAGGTCAGCCCTACACCAAGTGGGTCCCTGGCTATGATTGTGATGGTGCTAATAGCCGAGGAAGACACAGCAAAATACAGAAACATCTTTCACCAGATACCATGCATGCAGGACTCATTGTCTACAGATCCCTTTGCTTGTCCTTCCCAGTTCTAAACTGAATTGCACCCTTGCACAGAAAGCATGGCAGCGCAACTCAGCTATTTGAGCATACGAGTGAAAGCCACCAGCTCTGCTCCACACTGGAGAAGTCTCACCACCAGCAACCAAGCTGAGAATTCCCCACCCCTCCTTCCCACTGCACTATACAATCCAGCCAAGAAATAAACAAGACAGAGAAAGGCAGCAAGCACAAGTCAAACAAAAAGGAATGAGAGGAGGGTGCTGCACTCTTCCTAAAACTCTTCTCTCCCCAACATAGACGCTCCAAATACACCCATAAACATTTATACACACACACGCGCACATACCCAAAATACAAATACAAGCACACAAGTATACACACGCATGCACACGCACACATCCATTCTGACATAGACTGCCACCAGTCCCCCAATCAATCACTGGCTGTAGTCTGCATTGGGGAAGGTCTAACAGTTTACAGAGGTTTGATGGGGCCAGCTATCGGGATATTCTGACCAGCTCTGGTCACATACACCAAGCCAGTGATAACCGTGGGGTTAAATATCAGGCTCTCTGGCCTGCAATGCTGCCATGGCCTCACCTTCAGAGAGACATGCCGATCTCTGCTTTGGAACTAAATAATATTCTTAGTGCAGTCTTCATGCCTTTACTGATACCCATTGCTTGTGTTTAACCAGCTGTTTGCAACTTTATAACGGAAAGCCATGAGAGGGGGACAATTTCACTTGAATTTCTCCCCCAACTCCACCTCACAGGGAAAGTACCCAGCTTCCCTTGCTAATTACCATCTCACCATTGAAGTGAGAGCGTTTCCATATTGGGAAGTGTCTCTGTGCACTACATGGAAAAGTGCCAAACCGACATGCACATCAAACCCAATGCTCGAACCAACACACACAAACCCGATCTTTATCATTCACAGTCTAGGCAAGCACCAAATTCAGCGTGATGTTACCGGCAGCACCATGCACTCTGCAACTCTCTCCCCAGCCAATGCCATCCTATGGCACTTGGTGTGATACAGTGCAAGTCTGTAAGGTGGGGCACGACATTGCTGAAAATTGTATTTTGAAGTCATGGTCATGAAGTCAGCAGCCATTATGCTCATCAGGTCTCAATCACCAAGCAGAAGAAGTGGGCGCCCAGCCATGCCAATAACTGGGCACCCTGGCACAATGTGAGTCACCACAGACAGCACCATTGGTTAAACAGGTGCACAAACTGTGTTGTCTCCTGTGCCAACCCTGAACACCATGATCTCCTCATCACTGTCTTATAATGAGGGAATCCCATTACTAGCGAGGAGCGAAACAATCACTAGTTTTTTTTGGGGGGGAGGCAAGAGAGGAAGGTTTGTTGCTGAATTTAAAAGAGACATCCATATTCACCTTGCACAGTTCTCTAGGCGTGTCTCAATGCCCCGCATACAGAGATTTCCTGGTTCCAAGCCAGAATCTGCAAATAAGCCCTACTATAGCCATATCATCAAATCCCAGCTTCTGTTCATATACAGACAGACAGACCTGGTGCTCACCAAACTGACTAGTCTAATAAAGTCATTTGTGGTATCAAACAAATTGAAAAATGTTAAAAAGGTGGTAAGAAAGGAGAGAGGAAGTGATGCTAACTACAGTCAGCAACACGTTAACTGGCGGGCATGGCAACCAAAGTCCAATCGGTTGTTTAGCTACGTTTCAGAGCCCGATCAAACAAAATGGGCAGATTTGGTTCCCGTGGCGCTGGGAGCGCTTGTGAAATGTCACAGCCACAAGGGTGGACAGTCATTTAAAGCAAGGTCAAGACTCGAGAAGTTAAGACCTTGAATGATTAGAGAGAAGGAGCATGACGTGAATAACCAAAGTTAACCAGCCCTGCAACAGCATCGAAAGGCTGCCTCCGGCCCCAGTCCTTTAGGATGTTACGTTGCTCTGAACTGATCTAGAACCAGAGGTCGTTCCCACTTTCTTACATCTTGTGCAACTTTTTTTGCAGAGTGTTTAGGGGGGAGTGGGGGTTGGAAGCATGTAGAGAAGAGCAGGATGGTGAGACAGAGAGAGAGAGAAAAAAAAGAAAAGACCCTACAGAGAGAGATACAGACAAAAATATATGGAGACTGGTGGAGAGATAGAGATGTATACACACACTGAGACAGAAGGGAAAGAGTGAGAGAGGAAAAAAAGACACATGTAGGCAGACACAAAGAGAGACAAATATACAGAGAGAGTAATAAATATTCAAACTTTACAGTATAATAAGTGTCAAAGTTCTGTTTCTCAGGGCACCGAAAACGTGAATGAAGCAGTTTCACGCATTGCTTGTGTATGAAGCAATATCACCATTTAAAAAAAAAACTCCCACGTACAGCTTCTGTACACGCACCTAGTCAACTAGCGGAGTGGAGTGCAAATAAAACTCACATTAAGTCTTTCTCAGTTTGGAAAATAATAGCCGATAAAAAAAACTGCAAAAACAGACTCCTTAAGCTACAGATTGGCAATGATACAACAGGGAATGAATTGAACCGGGACTGTTCCCAACAAGGAACCAAACCTTTGAACAGCGGACGCTGAGCAGCGAGAGTGCTTCAGATACATGGGGAGAAAAGTAACAAGCGCGATCGATGATGCCTTGTAGGTCAATGCTTCCAGAAATGAGGAGGCGACAGCCATGATGTTAATGCATGGACAGCATCTACTTAAGGCACAATTCTCAACCAGCCAGGCTTGTTCACCAGTTCCACAGATGCCTACAGTACCGGTTGTTGGGCATCAATAGTTTCCTCTCCCAACTCTCTCCACCCCACCCTCACACCTCTGCCTTGGTTAAACTGTGTAAAAGAACATCCCGCTCAGTCACACTGGAAGTCATCAGCAAATTTGTTCGGACAACAGGGACAAACCATTAATCCACAATGATTTATCACATCTCGAGCCTGTACCAAGCAGCCAACCCACTGTACATAAACAATGTGTTGCCTTAACATCAGACATAGTGCCTCCTGGCAGACAGTGGTGCAAGTGTACATGGGCAGATCAGCAATCAGCTCAGTCATGTTTGCCTCCCACATGAGTGCGTTGTATCCTCTCCCCAGCAAAATCCAGATGTTCCCTCTGCTTCTCACCCATTCTGATCAGGTACCCGACCCAATATAAAGGAATGCGCCGGGCAATCTGGAGTGACGGGTGGGTTGGGACGGAAACTTGATACCTCCCTGTCAGAGACTGGTCAAGCCTACTGCCAGCTCCTTATCTTTAGTAAGTACACACACACACACAACCGAGAAGCTCTTCACTCTTCCTCACCCTCCCAACCTCCCTCCCCCTACCCCAATATTCACATAGAATACTCTCAACGCCACTCAATATAGGGTTCAGCCATTGCAAGGACCTGGGTAGTGGTCGGTAGCCAAAGTGGATATTTTGATAGTCAAGGCCATGGTCTAGTGAGATCAGGAGGGACTCGTGTATGTAGGCCTTTCATATCAATGGAGACTGGAAAGAGAAATCATATCAATGGCTCATCATTCAGTCACCAAAATATGGAACAGACCCAAATATTTACACCAATGGTTTAAGTGAGTGAAGCTTATTTCGAAGTTAAGAGAATTAGCAGTGGGGTGGGTGTTTTTGCTGTTAACATGTCTATCTTACTCTTTGGTTTGTCTCATCGGTCCCGAGAACGGGTGAAATGGTCAGAGGTTGGCAGCTTGGGTTGCCTCGGCAAACACCAAAACTGATAAAGAGGCTCTTACTTCGAAAGGAGAAGGAATGTTTAGTTCCTCTGTTACCCTCCCACCCACCCATCCGTCCACCAATCATTCAATCGAGACCTCAGCCAAAAGTAACTCGCAATGATCCACTGGGACTGGTGTGGTTTTTGGCTGGGGAGGAGGCGGGGGTGGGGAAAGAAGTAGATGAGAGTTTAAACCAAGTTGTCCAATTATCTTTCAAACTACGTGTTCCAATTCCAGGCTCGATTGTGGTCAGCAGAGAGTCAAGAGAGGAAACTGGGTCACAGCTATTAGTTATCAAATTGGTCAGATGAGGAGGACCCTTGAGCTAATCTAGTGAAACATTGTCCCATCCCGTTCTCCCATTTCTCCCCACCTCCCTACACCACCCTCCCCCCACCCCCGCCTCCCCAAAGTGTGTTCCACTGGGGCTGAGAAGAAAAAGAAAAGGCTCTTTGCAAAGTGTGCGTCACAGTGAGCCTACGTGAGTTTGGCTCAGTAGAGAGAAGTCTAGAGTCCAGGCTTCCGGAGGTCCGTGTCTTAAAGAGGTGCCCTTGACAAGTTGTTCGCCCAGCTTTCTGCGTCTCTGTTTGGCTCTGAAGCAGTTATCACATGCTGCCAGGAGCCCCTGAGCCTGTGCACCAGGCGGGCTTTGAGGTGCTCACGATGCAAGTGGTATTTAGGGGGGGGGGGGGGGGAGGAGAAAGAGAGAGGGAGAGGCAGGATATGCTGTAGACTTTCTGAAGTTCAGAAAGTCGGAGAGAGCGACTCATGCCGGTTCTATACAGTCCAACGCCATTAAAAAAAAATAGGCAACAACACATAACCCTCACCAACAGGATCAATAGTGGACACTGAATGATAGTCACGGTGGAGGCATCACATCAACACAGCACCCTGCCACCACAACACCTCCATTGCTTCCTCCTTAACACAAGAAATCCTTCCTCTTGCTCCCTTGGAAGAGTGAGATTGCGGAAACTATTCCCAGGTGAGAGAAGCAATCCCGAGATTGTCTGATTCAGAGGACGAGTTATTTACTGAAGAGGCCGACTGTTCTCGTGGTGGGGGGAGGGGGGGGGGCTGGGGAGAGAGAGGGAAGATGGTGTGGTCTCAGTCTGTAATCCCCTTTGGCTTCCATGGCAACAGAAATCCAAGTGCGATTTAAATCAGCAATCATGTGGCAGTGTCTAACTGACCGATCGACTGGGTAAGGCATGACCAAGAGACAAGTGTGTATGGGGGAGAGGGAGGGGAGGGGGGGTGGTGTTGATCCTAATACAGCGAACATATAAAGTGCCACACACCCCACGGTGACGAGCCAGCCATGTTATCCGTGCTTCCAGAGGCGAGTCCGCTATTGCTTCCCCCTCTTAACAGTCGAGCCACGTGCCGTGTGATGCGGTCACTTCTCTAAAGGTGTCTCTTCATGTGCAGAGCCAGGTGGTCGGATCGTGAAAAACACCTGGAAGTAAATGGAGAGAGTGTTAGAACAGTGTTAAAACCAATGCATCACATCATCTGGTCTTCACCAACACCCACCCCTGCCACCCCACATCCTCCGACTCCCATTATTCCAGCAAACCAGCACATAAGAGCCTTTCCAGGACTATCTCGATTGCAATCCTGCTCCCAGCCATGAAGTGAATGAGCGATTTTATCCAGGCAGACGGGGGGTGGTGAGTTTAACATCTCATCCTATAAACGGCATCTCGAGCAGTGCGGAACTCCCTCCCCCCCTCCCCTCCCCACGCACACGGCAATGCATTGGAGGGTCAGCCTAGACGAAGTGCTCATAATTTCTGATGCGAGGCTTTCACGGTGGCAGGGGTGGGAGGGGGGGAAGATATGACGAAAGAGAGTGAGAAAGAGGAAAGGAGAGAAACAAAGAGGAAGGGAGAGAGAGAGAGAGAGAGAGAGAGAGGAATAGCGGGGAAGAGGGAGAAAGAGGAACAAAGGGGGAGAGAGAGAGAGAGGAATGGAATGAACCGCAGAGAGAAAAGAGTGTGGGGCAAAATAGCGCGAGAGAGAGAGAGCGACGTAGAACGGTCAAAACTCCAGGCCTTACTCAGCTGTAGAAAGCCAAATGCTGCCACAAACCATATCTGTGAGCTCAGCAAGCAAGCAGCCGTTGCCAGGCAAGGCAGCAAGTGTCCCTTAAGGGATATTTTGAAGTCACGATATTGTTATAAAAGATTTCAGTTTGCTTGGAATTTTCTCATGCAAATCTAAATGTGGGGCGAGGGGGATGGGAAAGAGAAGGGGAAAACAAACGGGTGAATTTTCGCTCTGCAAATTGAACAGCGGATGACATGGTGTGAGTGGGTGAGAGTGGCAGGTGGCACGGTCTGGCAAGCAGATGGCATGGGAGCAGGTGCCTGGTCTCGCTTCAACTGTAATCAAACAGGCAGTAGGACATCTAATAAGACCCTCACCCCCCCAAGCCTCCGCTCGGTGTACCCGCCCCCCCACCACCCCCCACACCAGCCTCGGTTGCCACATCAACACCCGATTAACTTATTAGACAGGATTAATGACAGGCTGCCGAGCACTCAGCGGGACACAGCGCCACACAATACTGCTGCCAGCTCGCCCCTCGCTTCCTACCCCTTCATTAAGTCAACAGAGCAAACGAGAAAGAAATGACAGCACAAGCCGGGAAGAACGCAAGTAAATCACTTTCAACCTCAGAGTGGTCTGCTGGAGACAACGTTAGAGGCAGCCTGGCACGCCGTGACTGATGGGAGTGCTCTAGTAATATTCCGGGGAAGGGGAGGGGGGAACGGAGAGAGACACACATACATATCTCCAGAGACAGACACAGAGAAACAACCCCCCCGACCCCCCCATCACAGCACACTGACACCCACCCCCCACCCCCCAAATCATAGTACTCTGACATACACCAGAATGGGAAGATCGGGTTCACTGTTGGGATACATTGCCCCCCTCCCCTCGTTGCTTGATCTCCGTGTCCTGGGCGTGAGCCTGGCTTACCTGTCGCAGTGGTTACATTTGAATGGCTTGGCTCCCGTGTGTTTCCTGTAATGTCGGGTCAGCTCGTCGCTTCGTGCAAAACGCCATTCACATCCTTCCCACGAGCACTTGTACGGCTTCTCACCTGTAGAAAGGCATTAAACCCAAGAGAGACAGTGAGGGAGAGATTAAGATCAACATAACCGCGTGTCAGTGCAGTGGTACCCCTCTTGCCTCCGAGTCAGAAGGTTATGAGTTCAAGCCCCACATAGTCTAAATTGATGCTCCAATGCAGTGCTGGGGGTGTTTTGCATTATCGGAGATGACATACTTCGGATGAGACGTTAAAAATTATTTTTGGCCAGGACACAAGCAGAAACTCCCTTTTCTTTTTGAATCATGTCATGTGATCTTTTAACATCCACCTGAACACACAGACAAAGATACCATAGCATTATTCAAAACAAGAAGGGAGTGTCTCCCAGTAGGCAAAATCCCCCAAACCCAATTGATTACTCACTCAAACTGGCTGCTGCACAGTAAATTCTGTGAAGTGCTTTGGAATGTCCTTCGACATGAAAGGCATTATATCAAATGCAAGGATTATTATTATAATACAGAATAGAGCCAGAAAGAGTAACCCCACCATGTCATGCTTGCACAGTGCTGACAGATCAGATGCCTCTGGATGAGCCATCTATCGTGCCTACTGTCAGTCAAACAAATATGAATTATTTTCTTTCCCCTGCGCAGAAAACCAGACACAATGAGTCTGGCCCTTCTGAACCACCACAAGGTCAGAGAGCATGAGTGAGCGCAAGTGAGCTAGAGAAAGAGATAGAGAGAGAGAAAGAGACAATGACCAAACAGTTAACAATCTGCAGATTCTCTCAGACACCATAGTGCACTGATAACCTGTTGAGCAAAGGACACTGGGGCACAGGCAAGTAGGTTCAAAATCCCAGTTTGCACAGAGTTAGGTGATTTCATCCAGGATGTCAATGAACCTCAGCGTCTCCCCGGACTGGGGAAAGAAATTGTCAGCACAGATTCATCAGGACCCCGAGTGCTTCTGAGAAGTGCGAGGCCGTCAGGGGAGGTCAGACTAGGTTCGGCTGTGATGCTTTCAACCCCCCTTTAACCTCCCACCACCCCTTAATCACAGCTACCAACCCTCAGTGCTAGGGATTGTGAGTGAAGGCTGACTGACCAACTGACCGACCACTTGGGTGAGCTACTTGAGGTGCTTGTGAAAATTGAAGGAAAAAAATTGGCAACGTAAAAAAAATTATTCCAAACGTATTAAAAGGGGCCGCTCTGCTGTCTGAGATTTGGAGCTATCTGCAGTTATCCTCTCTTATATTGCTCCCAACCCACTCATCAACCAAATTTCTCCCTCACCACCAATTCAAATTCATTCACTGCTCATCTTGTTACTTGCCTCATACGGTCTAAGCTGATACTCCAATTCAGAGACGGGTTCAAGTCTCACGTCAAGACTTGAACTCACATAGTCTAAGCTGACACGGCAATGCAGCGTTGGGGGGGGGGGGGATTCCATTATCAGAGGTGTCAGCTTCGGATGAGACAATAAACCGAGGTCCCATCTGCCTGTTCAGGTGGACAGATCACGTGGCACTATTCAAAACATTTCTCCCAGTGTCCTGGCCAACAATCCCAATGGTAAGATGGGTCACTCACTTCATGGTTGTTTGTGGGACATTGCTGTGCGCAAATTGGCTGTCACATTCGCCTACAAATACAGTCACTTTACGGTATATCCTGTGAAGTACTCTGAGTCACTCTCCTAAAGTGAGAGACTCTATATCAAATGCAAGAATTATTTATTATTATTAATAGGACACGGTGGTGCAGACTAGTTGCCAATTAGGTATAACAAGGTAACACTTTAATTTCTGATCAATTATATTTCGTGAAGCGCTTGGAGCAATTTCTTTTTTTTTTAGCCTGGAAGGCGTCATATAAATGTTATTATTATTAGCTTAAAAAATATCTTTCCAAAGCCTGGAGAGAGATTTTCCTTTGCATGATTATAGCTGTTGCACATCGTTACGCGCAATTGGGAAAGAAAAAAAAAATCCAAGTTTTTTTTTTAATGTCTTTTAAAGTAAAATAGGAGCAAGCACAGGTGCCAGCCAGACAGTCTCTACTGCTGCCACTCTCACCCGTGGCTCCATTAATTGGGACTTGTCCCCAGAGGAGGAACAGCAGTGGAGCAGGCAGGCTGAGGCACGCAGCAAGGTTGAAGCCAGTTATCGCTCTATACATGGTACTGATGCAGTCGCCTAGCAACCAGTCTCTCTTACCCCTCCATCCTCCACCCCCCTTCATCCTCCACCCACACGTCTACTGCTGCGATACCTCATTATACCGCAGTCAGCTGCTGTCACCAGGTCTGACCTTTCTCTGGGAGTTTGTGAGGAGGGCGCGAGGTAAGAGGAAGGGAGAAAGAAAGGTGCGGGGAAGGTGAAAAAAAATCATTTTTCTCCTAATTCTCCTATGTCCTCGGCAAAACGAAAAGGCAAACTGTTTCCGTGCCTCCTACTCGGGCATCACAAAGATAAATGTTAATCGCAGCAAGGCTCGGCTATTCCATCAGTCGCGAGGTGAGCCGGCGGAGGTTAGTCAACAACAGCATCACCCCAACAAAGGTAGTCTGGCCAAATAATCACGTGACGGAATACATTGTCTTGTCTCCCGAGTCTCTCTGTTACTCTCTCCCCGCACCCCCAGCGCGAACCCAAAACCCCAGAACCCTAACTTCACAGCGCCCCCCCACCCCCCACCGCCCCCAACCCGCGGCAGAGAGAGAAGGGCCGGTACAGACCTCGGCCTTCCCAGCGCAGTCTCTGCACAGCAGCACCACTGAGATTAAGAACTGGTGTAAAAAGGAGAGTAACTCAGTCACTCCTCACCAACACTACATCAAACTCAGACACTCCTCACCGATATTCCGCAAACAGTAAATCTCCCTCTATTGTGTCCATCCAGCACTCCCAGGTCAGCTACAGGATACAATGCAATTCTCCAGTCCCAATAATGTATCTTAAACCCAATCTGAGAAGGGTGTTTGAACTTCCCATCTCTCTCCAGTAATGTGCAATCCACTGACTGCAGAATTGCTTTATCTTACAAAGAACAAGATAGAAACCGCTGCTGAGAATCCCTTTGCACAGCGCCTCTGCCAGACCGCGAGACAGTGGGTCATGGAGAAGAAGCCTGATCCTCGCAAAGATGCACTCTGCCAGCGCGAGGAGAGATCTGGCTGCTTGCCACAGTTCACCCGCCTGAGTCACATTTTCCCCACATGATTTTATTCCCATGTCACATATCCCGGGGTGATGTGGCATAAGAAGAGGAGGTTGGGGGTGGGGGGGGGTGGGGTGCGGAGTATAAAAGAAAAACAGTCCATACGCTGAGAGTTTTGGAAAACGGATTCATACACATGATCTTCCCATCTTCCAGAGAGCCCAGTCCTCCTCTAGCATAGCACCCTCAGATCACACCTATTGTGCTATATGCCCTGCCACCCCACCACCATCAAACCGAGCCGAGAAAAATCGTCAAATCTTAGCTTTACCAACAACATTTGTACAGCCCCTTTCACGGCAGGAGGACGTCCCAAAGCACTGAGTGACGTGAAAGCGGGAAGATGGCGCCATATCTATTTATCGATTTACGGAGTGAACGCTTTGCTTTGCGGCTGAGAGTCACACCAGAGAGGCTAGCAGTGAGGGAGGGAGGGGTGGCGGGGGGAGGCAGTGAGCGAGGGGGTGGCGGGGGGGGGGGGAGGCAGTGAGCGAGGGGGGGGGGAGGCAGTGAGCGGGGGGGGGGGGAGGCAGTGAGCGAGGGGGGGGGGAGGCAGTGAGCGAGGGGGGGGAGGCAGTGAGCGAGGGGGGGGGAGGCAGTGAGCGAGGGGGGGGGAGGCAGTGAGCGAGGGGGGGGAGGCAGTGAGCGAGGGGGGGGGAGGCAGTGAGCGAGGGGGGGGGAGGCAGTGAGCGAGGGGGGGGAGGCAGTGAGCGAGGGGGGGGAGGCAGTGAGCGAGGGGGGGGAGGCAGTGAGCGAGGGGGGGAGACAGTGAGCGAGGGGGGGGAGACAGTGAGCGAGGGGGGGGGGAGACAGTGAGCGAGGGGGGGGGGAGACAGTGAGCGAGGGGGGGGGGAGACAGTGAGCGAGGGGGGGGGGGAGACAGTGAGCGAGGGGGGGGGGAGACAGTGAGCGAGGGGGGGGGGGGGGGGAGACAGTGAGCGAGGGGGGGGGGAGACAGTGAGCGGGGGGGGGGGAGACAGTGAGCGAGGGGGGGGGGAGACAGTGAGCGAGGGGGGGGAGACAGTGAGCGAGGGGGGGGAGACAGTGAGCGAGGGGGGGAGACAGTGAGCGAGGGGGGGGAGACAGTGAGCGAGGGGGGGGGGAGACAGTGAGCGAGGGGGGGGAGACAGTGAGCGAGGGGGGGGAGACAGTGAGCGAGGGGGGGGAGACAGTGAGTGAGGGGGAGACAGTGAGCGAGGGAGGGGGTAGGCAGTGAGCGAGGGAGGGGGTAGGCAGTGCGCGGGGGGGGGGGCGGGGGGGGGGGGGGCGGGGGGAGGCAGTGAGCGAGATGGGTGGGGAGGCAGTGAGCGAGGGGGTTGGGGGAGGCAGTGAGCAAAGGGGGGTGGGGGAGGCAGTGAGCGAGGGGGGGGGAGGAGGCAGTGAGCGAGAGGGGTGGGGGATTAAGTGGTCTGGCCTGACTAACCTGTGTGCGTCCTCTGGTGAGCCTTCAGGTGTGAGCTCTTGGTGTAAACCTTCCGGCAGCCATTAAACTGACAGCGGTGTACTCTCTTCTTGCTGTCCGCCGAGCCCTCCTGGTCGCCCTTGCCAGCCCCCCTGGGCTGGCCGAGACCCCCTTTCCTGGGCCCGGTTTTGCCCGTGGGCGAGTCCTCCGCGGCACCCAGGACGTGCAAGGGTTTGATCAAGTGCCTCCCGAGCTCCGGCGAGGAGGGTGGGGTGAGCGAGGTCACAGCGTTGAGCTGAGCGGGGTTGACGGCAGCGTATGTCTCGGCGAGCTGCTCAGTGCTGCGGTGTAAGGCGAGGGGCACTGCCAGCAGCAGCTTGTGCGGGGTGGTAGGGGTGCAGGGCAGCTCTGCCATGTCCTCGGGGGGCTCCGGGGAATCCGCCAGCTCCCCCTCGCCGCTCTCTGCCGACGAGGTGCTCAGCGCACACTCCAACTCCTCCCAGAACGGCTCCGACAGTCTCTTTGGCTCCGTCTGAAGGTAACGCTCCAACTCAAGGCGGGTCTGGAGAAAGAGAAGGACAAACAGAGCATCACTGGGGAGAAATATCCTGCTGGTGTTACTTACTACAACAACAACTTGCATTTATATAGTGCCCTTCATGGTGGGTAGAGTCTCAGAGCGCTTAACAATGGTGGAGCCTGACCCTGAGCTGGAGGGAGGATGGAGATGACCTTAGGTAAGGTTGAAGGGGGAAGGTCTTCAGGCATGATCTGAAAATGGGGAAGGAGGAAGCAAAGCGGAAGGATTGAGGGAGAGAGTTCCAAAGTTTCGGGGCGCAGTGGCTGAAAGCACTTACAGCAAACAACTTGTATTTCGGCCACAAAACGCACACTGTCACACTGTTTTACCATTTACCCTTAAACAGCACTTTTCCTAATAGAGAGGACGTCCCAAATCGCTTGACAATGTCTGGCTACAGGAGCTGAGCGGATTAAGGAGAGGAAAGAAGACCAAAAGAAGTACATTTTGAGATGCAGGTGAGCGTTCAGAGAGCGGGAAACAGTCCGGCCGAAAGCCCATCTGACAATGGTGTGGTGGAGTAGGCCGGTGTTGGCTGTGTAGTGTGTCCTGTGGAGCGTTTTGAAATGTCGCAACATAGTAAGGCGTTGTATCAAATGCAAGGATTAATACTATTGTTATTCACGTAGGGTAACGTCATGGAGAGCTTAAAAATCAATCGTCTTCAGCAGAAGCCCGGTTGGCTTCAAAAAGATCCCAAGACCCATGACTGATTAGCACGAGACTCAAGATAACAGGAACTCTACAATCTGATCTTTTAGGCCCACTCATTGCTCCGTTTAGCCTCCTTGCACTGGGTACCCAGCGGGATCCAAGACGAACGACTAAAATTAAGGTTCAGCGAGCACTGAAGCTCAGGGTCCCATATACCTCCCAATTCAAACTCACGGAGCTCAGCGCCACCTATCCCATAGCAGCTACCACAGTACATGGTGACCAAGTGCTGAGCACACACCAAATATAGAGACCATCCTGACCACAGAACATGAACATGAACAATTTAGTTTAACCCCACTCTCCTTCTCGCTACCTGTTTTCCTTGGAGTCCTGTAGCTCAGGGGTTAGAGCACTCGCTTTGCAAGTGAGAGACCTGAGTTCAATTCCAGGCAGAGGGCGAAACCTTGGGCAAGTTTCCTTACTCCACACAGAGCCTAATAATAATCCCTCCAAAGAAAACCAAAACAATAATAAATTGGTCATTTTCAATCCACGACTGTTTGTGGGACATTGCTGTGCGCAATTGGCTGCCGCGTTCGCCCACAAATATACAGTCAATTCACTTTACAGTGTGTTCTGTGAAGCGCTTTGGGACGTCCTCCCGACGTGAAAAGCGCTATATCATATGCAAGGATTATTATTATTAAGATCCCTCTTCTTCAAACACCTATTGATTCCCTTTTGAAAGAACCTACAGATTGCTTCAACTATAGAAATCGACAAACGCAACTTTTATTTGCATAGATGGGACTTGGACAGCAGCAGTCAGAGCACCTTGCACCATTCGCCTACAACAACAACAACAGAATTACATTTATAGAGCGCCTTTCACGTCGGGAGGTCTTCCCAAGGCACTGTCGTGAAAGGCACTATATCAGATGTAAGGATTATATTATTATAATTACTATTTATTCGCACAGAAAAATTAGGCATCCATTGAGACCACTAGACAGCGCTGAGTGGGAATCTTTAGCATTTTATTTAGCAATTTTTAAATATATATATAAATTGTTATACTGTAAAGTGGTTTACTGCATCTTTTGTGGGTGAAATACAGCAGCCATTGCCCCACAAACAACCATGACGTGAGTGACCAATTTTATTAGGGGATTGTCGGGCAAGCCACAAGGAGAATCTCCCTTCTCTTTTCGAATAGTGCCATGGGATCTTTATCGTTCGTCCGCCTGAACAGGCAGATAGGAGTTTGGTTTTAACATCTCATCCGAAGGATGGCACCTCCCCAGCACTGTGCTGGAGTATCACCTTAGACTATGAAATTCCAAATCTCAAAGTGAGGTTTGAACCCACAACCTTCCGACTCAGAACAAGAATGCTACCACTGAGTCATATATTTTTACTTTACATTTACTGTAAAGGGCAGCGATAGTGTGTTTTGTACATGATCAACTCTTTAATAAATAAGAATAGGAATAATGGAATCCCGTAGCATATTGGTTAGAGCACTTGCTCTGCTACTCAGGTTCGATTCCCAGGCAGGGCAAAAACTTAGGCAAGTTTCCTTACTCAACACACTTCTATTTGCCTAGCAGTGAATAGGAACCCTGTTGTCAGTCAATTGGTGGCTTGCTTTCCCAGGGTAATAATTCCCATCATTAATGAATAAATAATAATAACTTGGTCACTCGATCCACGGTTGTTTGTGGGACATTGCTGTACGCAATTGGCTGCCGCATTTCACTCACAAAAATATATACAGTCAATTTACTATTCTGTGAAGCGCTTTGAGACGTCTCGACGACATGATTAGGCGCTATATCAAATGCAAGGATGATTTTTAATATTACCCTGTGCTGCTATCACCAGTAACAGCTCCTTCATTCCCAGCTCCTGCACCTGGGAGCTCTGGCTGCCAGCTGCAAATGCACTTGACAGAAATGCACGCGAGTGAGCCTGTGAAACACCTCCCAGCAGGAAAATTACACGGCAATTAGTGGGAAACCCATTCAAAACTAACACGTCTTGAAGGCCGCCAAGGCAGCTAATGAAATGGGACTCATGTCATTACAGCCTGCTAATAAAAGGGGAAATTAAATAGATTTTAATTACATTGCAGATCTGGAACAAAGACGGGTTTTCTCTCTCTTTCTCTCTCCCTCTCTTCCTGCTTTTTGGATCTTCCCAGAGGGGATTAGAGATAAACCTCATCCCTCTTCCCGTTCTGCACTTATCTGCCTTTCAGTAGCAACTTCCTGCAAACATCCTGCTTCCCAAGCAGATCTGGGCTCCCATTGTGTTGCTATTCTCCCTGCCTCTTATGCTGAGCGCTAATAACATCTTTTCTTCTTTTATGAAGCTGCAGGGAAAAAGGCGGCTCATTTCAACGACCCTCTTCCCTCCTCGCTCTCCCTCACCAGGTCACAGGCCCGTCCAGCTGCTCCTGGGAGATATGGCAACATAATATAAGCCACCAGTTCCCTCCCTCTAGTTTAGGTTTATCCAATGTGTGAAATAAAGAATGTGGCTTTTAATAATCATAATGTGTTCCTTGCATTAGTTAACATCACAAATTTTATCCCTGTGGTCCACCTGCTTCTGGTGCAACCTTTCTCCAAACCCACCACAGCCACACTGAGCCTGTCCTAATCCACCACATAGTCACACCATCATCTTTAACCCCCACCTTAACAGGCAGTTTAGGACTTAATTTAACATCTCACATGAAGGATGGCACCTCTGACAATGCAGCGCTCCCCAAGCACTGTACTGGAGTGGCACGAGAGACTGAAATCAAACAAAGGACCATCTTCATTTGAATCTCTCATAATACTCCTTGCATTTGATATAACACCTTATTATGTCGTCGACACGTCTCAAAGCGCTTTGCAGGATTTTACCGTGAAGTGTAATGACTGAGTATTTGCAGACAAACACGGCAGACAATTACCGCACAGCAATGTCCCACAAACGATCCTGAAGTGCGTGACCAATTTTATTTGGGGGATTGTTGGCCAGGACACCAGGAGAAAATACACAGCTATTACACTTTACAGTATATCCTGCATTCGAAATGCTTCGATAAAGTGATAATGCGCTGTAAGGATTACTATATCAATAGCAAAGGTTATTATATCAAATGCAGGGATTACGAGGTGACACATGGTTTGAACTACACCCGCAGGGATAGCACCCCGAGCCGGGCATCCCATCATTGCACTGGGGAGCACCAGCCACACTGATGGGAGGGGAGGAGCTCTGAGGAGCTTCATCCAATTTGCATTGAGATCGAGCGAGCAATGAATTACACACAGCGCTGGCTTTGTTTCCACCGCGTGTCGGGGGCCGTGAATTCTCATTGTGATCCTAATGTAAAAGGACCCTGCAGAAGAATGCCTGAGTCGGTGGAGCACCAAAGGCCGGGGGTTTATTGTAAAATTAATAAAAAAAAGTGATCTCGCTTGGTGGCTGTAATGTATTCATCGCCAGACACATTAATTCCGATCTCTGTGCGATGCAGTCAGCCAGACGCTATCAATCAGGAGCAGCTGACTGCTAATAGGATTAGACTGGGAGGCTTGTGGTGTGTGCACGGCTGCAACACCAGCCAGTGAAACACTGCAAAGCGCCCAATCTCACCCAATCCCGACCCCTTTTATTTCATTAAATTCTTCCACAGGGATTATTTCTGTTCAAATAGGATTGCTGGTTGTTTAAATTTTAATGGGGGGCGGGGAGTGGGGGGGAAGCAGATCCTGGTTAATCAGATTAACATACAAGGATAGGACAGCAAGGAAAATCCCATTTATGATTCCTCCCAGCTCCCCCCCACCACCACACGCAAACGTACAAACACACACACACGCGCACACACACCTTAAGATCACCCGCATGTGATTAGTTCAGTCAACATACATGTCACATCTCTCCTCTTCTCTCATTTCTTTCTCCCACCCCCACCACCACCAACAATAAACAACAGTGAGAATAACTTGCAATTTTTGCACAGCAATGTCCCACAACCAACCAGCCATGAAGTGAGCCACCAATTCTATTGGAGGATTGTTGGCCAGGACAGAGAGAGAAACCTCCCTCTCTTTTTGAATAGTGCCATGGGATCCTTAACATCCTCCAGAACAGGCAATCAGGACCTCGACTTAACATCTCATCCAAAGACGGCACTTCTGACAAATCAGTGCTCCGCCAGCATTGCACTGGAGTGTCAGCCTAAACTGTGACAGCAACTGGTCTCCCAACTTTAAAATTGGGTCAGGCTACACCAGGTGTTGGGGAGTGGGGAGGGAAGGAAA